ATGAATGGGGGAGGGGCAGAGAGAGAGGGAGACACAGAATCAGAAGCAGGCTCCAGGCTCTGAGCCATCAGCCCAGAGCCCGACGCGGGGCTCGAACTCCCGGACCGCGAGATCGTGACCTGGCTGAAGTCGGACGCTTAACCGACTGCGCCACCCAGGCACCCCAATACGAGCTATTCTTAAGACCACGTTATCTGCTCTTCTTCTTCTCACCCCTTTCAACAGCGCCCCCTAGCCAGTCGAAGTGTCACCCAAACCTCTAGTTGGTCCTGGTGATTATTTTCTTTTTTTCTACTTTTCTGCATATTGTAATGAACGCATATTCCTCCTAAGATGGAAACATATTTTGGTTACAGAAATTCTCCTAGATGAGGACATGTTTGACGGATCCCCTTTGGGAAAAAAAGGCAAAGGGTGGAATATCTCCAGGACGGTGCCCGTGAGCATCACAGCTGCGTGTCAAGATGACCCAGAGTCATCTACTGACTGTAAGTTCACTTCATGCTCTGATGAGCTGCACAGGGCCCGTGATCGATAATTTTAATGCAGAATAATCACAGAGGTTTACAGCCATTACCTCTCCCCGTTGAATGCCATCTAGAGAGCACTCGAATACTGCTTTAAAATTCCCAAGTGCTCCTTTACATTACAGTTCATAAGGTCGCCGTTGTGTATGGTTAAGCTTTCACATGAATGCTTGGATGTGATGCGAGACAGGGGTCACCGCCTGGCGGCCACTGGCCCACAAAGCCCAGAACAACTCCCATGGCTGTCAGAAACAGTGTTCCGAAGATTCCGCCCAAGGGTGGCGGGAGGGTGGCTCCAGTTACTCACAAGTTCCCAGACAGGCATCAACAAAGAAAAGGTCTCTGGTTTAACCCGGGACTATCCTCTTTTCTTTTTTCTTTTTTAATTTTTTACATTTGTTTATTTAATTTGAGAGAGAGAGAGAGAGCGAGTAAGGGGAAGGGGCAGAGAGAGAGAGAGAGAGAGAGAGAGAATTCCAAGAAGGCTCCATGCTGACAGAGGTGGGGCTCAAACTCACGAACCATGAGATCATGACCCGAGCCTAGGTCAAGAGTCGGACGCTCAACCAACTGAGCCATCCAGGCACCCCTCACCAAGGACTATTCTAGGAGACCCCCCCAAGGGGAGGGATGCCCCTAAGTTGTCACACCTAAGCGCTGAATAGGGCAACAGTAGGGTACCGTGCCATGGTTGGGTGTCTTGGGGAAGAGAATTGCATTCAAGACCTGAATGGACACAGGTAAGCTGGACGGCCGTGTGGCCAGACCCATGGCCAGGCATTCACTTCCTCAACCTGAAAATGACACGCTGGGCTCCAGTCCCTCCAGGCTCCAGATTCTATCAGTTCATCATTATAATGCAGATAATGGATTAGAAATGTGGCAAGGTCCTCCCTTCACAGCACACAGACCCAGGACAGATCTAAGTCATATTCTACTCTGTGCCTCTCTGAGATTTACCAAATTAGTGCAACTCAGATGTCACGGCTTTGGGAGCTATCAGCCCCTTTGGTTAATTTCTGGGGAAACTGCATGGTGGCCAGTTTTCACACAGCCTGTCCCGTGATCGGTGTAAAGGTTGTAAGGGTGTGTCCTCCCTCCCTGGCTTTCATGTGGACACATAATCACCCAGCAGCTGCCACTCTCTCTGCAGCTCAGACTGGGACCTCAGGCAGCATGACCCTGTGTAGCTTCTTGACTCCCGAGTCCTTCCCTGCCTGGCCACCCGTTGGGGTGGTGACGGAGAGGGTTGCACATTCTCTCCTTAGGTCCACGTGGACACAACAACCATATGATCTCCATGGCCCCCCCAGGCACAGAACAGACATTATACATCTATGTGCTACAGCCCCCGCTGGTCTGTGATCCACCAATGACACGTCTCAGGAAATGTAAAGACCTGAGAGTCAAGCTCCCAAGGCGTAACTGAATAATGAACTAAACACAGGAAGAGCCCTGTTCTCATTCATCCAACCCACAAAGGTCCAGGTGCTGAGCCTGACCCGTCTCCATCCTCTAGAGCTTACGGTCCAGAAGGACAGAGGGTTGTCACTGTGTGGGGGGTGCGGGGAGTCTCTACACCAAGTGGGGAGGGCATCGGGGACCACTCGGGCAGAGGATGATGCTCAGCTCCTTAAAAGGCGAGCAGGATCAGGGCAAGAGACAGGCAAGATGGAGCAAGTAATCCCGACAGAAGGAACAGCACTTGCAAAGCGTCAGATGTCATAGGTCACCACCCTGTTTCAGGACAGACACCCAGGTGCTCCCCAGGGACAGACCGTGAGATGTCTGACTGTTGCTCAAAAGCCAGGTCATGCACAGCCTTGGAAAAAGCTGAAGAACCTGAAATTTACCTCGAAAGCCACGGGGAAATACCGACATCCTCTCAGAATTTTAAGTAGAGCAGTGACATTTTAGAAACATTACTGCGGCCACAGTGTAGAGGTGGGACCGAGGGAGGACTTCTTTGTACGCGGGTAGACCAGATGGCCACTCACTGCTCAGCCTGCTAGATGGGTAACAAGTCCAGAGGCATGTGGCCCCACCCACCCCTGTGCAAAAGGAGGCCACGGACCCTCGTCCACAATCCTTGTGTCTCTTGGGAGCCCAGGGCTCTATGCAACAGCTGTCTTTTTCTTATTTTTTCTCTACATTATAGAAGCTTTATGCGATTACTGTAACAAGTGAAATACATACCTGTATTTTTTTTTTATTTTTTACATGTTTATTTATTTTTGAGAGAGAGAGAGAGAGAGAGAGAGAGAGAGTATGGGAGCTGGGGAGGGGCAGAGAGAGAGAGGGAGACACAGAATCCGAAGCGGGCTCCAGGCTCCGAGCTGTCAGCACAGAGCCTGACGTGGAGCTCGAGCTCAGGAACCGCGAGATCATGACCCTAGCAGACAAAGTCGGATGCTTTACCAACTGAGCCACCCAGGCACCCCCCCATACACTTGCTTTTTAAATTAATTGTACTAATTCTTTTAATTTCTTGGTTTTTACTGCAAGAAAATGAGATTACACCATAAGAACTAGTCTGCAATTTGCTTTCTACGTTTAACAAAACATCATTCTTTCAAGTCCATAAAAAGAGAGCTATCTTTTTTAAAACCTGCGCGATACTCTGTCATCTGTAACAAGCTTTCTTCGGCCATCCCCGCGGTCAAGAGGCATCAAACGATGATCCAACAAGCATCCTTGTATATATGTCCTTAGGATAGAGTCCCAGATGCGAGAGAGCTGCCTCAAAGATTTGTGTGTGTTTTCTTTTAATAATTCTTTTCATATCACTTTCCAGAGACTGAGAGGCAATTCACATTGCCAGCAGCGATGCCCATTTCTCAGCATCACCCCCAACACAAGAGGCTTTCTGAAATTTCTGTAGATCTGATGGGTCCTAAGCCAGCATCTCGTTGGCTTTTCTGGCCTTTCCCATCAACAAGACGGAGGCCCTTCTCGTGTGATTTCCCGCCACATGAAGTTTCCTTCTCTGAATTGACGTTCCTCTGTCAATTTCCTATTGGATCATCTTTCTGCCATCCACCTGCAGACGCTCTTTCTACATCGGGAATTAAAAAGTCTTCGTTCATCTCATGCCACAGTTTCCTCCAAGCTACCACTTATCATGTGACTTCACCTGAGCTTTCCTTTACCTTCAACACGTGCTGTAGGAAACCAACGGTGTTTATCTTGCCTTTCGTCGTTTCTGGGTTTCTGACTCCGACGAGGTGTTTCTCTTCCACCCCAACGTTTAACAATGATACACTATTGCTAAATTTTCTGTCTGTCTGTGCTGGGATCACATACCCAAAATGACTACCTACCTTGGGGCACCCGGGTGGCTCAGTTGGTTAAGTGTCTGACTTTTGATTTCAGCTCAGATCGTGACCTCACAGATTCGCGAGTTCGAGCCCCACATAGGGATCCACAATGATAGTGTGGCGCCTGCTTGGGATTCTCTCTCTCCCTTTCTCTCTCTCTCTCTCTCCTCCTCTCTCTCTTTCTCTCTCAGAATAAATAAACTTTAAAAAAAATGACTACCTGCCTTAAAACAACAACATACAACTAAGTAGCTCGCACTGAAACTACCACTGAAACCCGGCGAAACCCTCTTTTTTTTTAAATTTTTTTTCAACGTTTTTTTATTTATTTTTGGGACAGAGAGGGACAGAGCATGAATGGGGGAGGGGCAGAGAGAGAGGGAGACACAGAATCGGAAACAGGCTCCAGGCTCCGAGCCATCAGCCCAGAGCCTGACGCGGGGCTCGAACTCACGGACCGCGAGATCGTGACCTGGCTGAAGTCGGACGCTTAACCGACTGCGCCACCCAGGCGCCCCGAAACCCTCTTAAGAAAGATGAAGGGAAATGAAGATCACGATTTTCTGAAAGTATTAGGGAGAACTGCCAAAGGCAACGAAAACATTTTAGAGTCACCGTCGCATTCTCTCTTCACCTCATGAGACATGAGCCCCAAAAGAAAGTCACTCTCCTGACTCTGCTCTTACGATTTGTATGTAAACTGAAAATTGTTAAAGCAGCCACTAACTACAGGCTGAGTCCTTTAAACCCTAGAATCCAAGCCACCGAATCCCTAGAAAATAAAGACATTGGAGAGGAGCTGAACCCCACTGCATCGGTATCACGTCCACATCGTGGCACCCGGAAAGATGGCTACGTGGATGCCAGACGTGCAGAGTCTGGGTGTGCTGGAGGGCATTACAGGTACCTGTCTGGTGTCACAGAAACTTGCAGCACAGCTCACAGGGACTCACTCGCTGTGTTGTCAATATAGTCCCTCGAAGGCCGCACCCCCTCCAGTCCCCTATGCCCTAAGCTCTCACCTAACTTCCTCGCGGGTGGACTTCTAGGATCTTGCCCCCCCCCCCGGTGCCTCCACCCCTGCCTGGTACACCGTGAACACCCGGGAAAGTCACGACCGAGCACGTGCTCAGACTGAACGCGAATGAGCCTGTACCCGAACATGGCGACGAGCAGGTTGACCAGCAGGATGTTGGTAGAGAGCATGTAGATACACACGAGGGGGATGGTGATCCACTCGGGGAACCGAGGCAGATTGTGCTCGTCCAGCTCCACACACAGCGGCTTCGACTCATTCCCAGTGAAGGTGCAGTGGGCAAAGTCGTACGTGGTACCTGCGGATGTAGAAACCAAAAGGCAACGTGAGGACCCTCTGGAGGAGGCAGTGCTACGGCACCTGGGGTGAGGGGGTGGGGGGACACAAGACAACCTGATGAAGATGGCTTGGGGGGGGATAGCGATGATAAAAAGCATTTGGGTTTCGAAGACACTGAGACCTGATCAACAAAACTAGCTGATGGATTGGAGGTGAGGGATGAGATCACAGGAGGGGTCAAGGATAGGATTTGCACAACTGAGTGACAGAGCCCAGATGGGGGACCTTGAAAAAAGTCCCAGTCCTCACAAAGGACTAAAACTACTGGGGTGCTGTGGGACTAAAGCCACGAGGATGAAACGTACTCCCTGATGAATAATGGTGAGCACGGTGTGCAGAAGGGAAGTTAACAACAGCAAGGTGCCTTTCCATCACGCACAGGAAAAGAGCTAAAGCCTTGGAAAAGGCTGTAGCAGAAGAGGCCAGGGCTGCCCGAGGCCACAGGGCTAATTGAGAGAACACCAGGGAGCTGAGAAATGTGACCAACAGGGCAGGGGAACATCGGGATCGCTGTGTCATGGCAGGACCAAACACGACAAGCCCAGGCTATCGTCGGCATCACAAAGATGCTTTCGACAGCTCGTTCAACACACACGCTGGCCTGCACATGCCCCACTCCTTCCTTACGTAAGCTGGGTGTGGGCACATCCGTGCCATCCGTGCTGCCACTAACCTGCCTCCAAAAGAGAGCGGACAGTGGGCTACCGCCGGATGTTTAAATTCCAATTGCCAGTGCAAAAATTTCAGTATTGCTCCTTTTGAAATAAATGGGCTCCCAGTTACACAAGAGAGGACAACTCACAACACCTGTTCCTAAACTAGCGAGGCTTGTTGCTGTCAACTGCCACGTCGCTGTCGAAAACACAAGAAACGCTATTTTTTGAGAAGTCGAAACGTCGCAGACTACGCTGCCGAACACGTCTGCAAGGCGGGCGTAAAGTCCTGCTCCAAGAAAAGGTCATGAGGGTCAGTGTTCACTCCCCGGTGTTGACTCAGCGCCAGCTGTGGATCAGAGCAGGGAGCCCCGGAGGCCGGTTCCGGAAGCAACCCCCCTACCCCCGGCTGTCCCCACCCGGGCCGGGTCAGGCTCACCGTCCACGTCGCTGGGCACTTGGCCGAACATGGCCAGGTAGGGCTCGTAGATGACCGAGCGGAATATCCATCTCCAACGATGCTCGTTTTGCCGGAGGATCCCTTGCCTGGCCACGCCAAAGGCCACCATCCACACCGCGAACAGGAACAGGAAGAAGAACACGTCAATCAGCTGTCAAGGGAGGACACGAGAACAGAGTCAGGACCGTGCCCCGCGGGTGGCTCGTCTGCTCAGCTGACCACAGGGAAGGGTCGAAGTTCCAGTCACCCTGTGTTCCCCCTAATTTGCCACCTTTGGGTCTTGGGACAACTCTTTTCCGGAATGAAAACCAACGGATGTATGTTGGCTTTACGTCTCCCAACCAGCTCAGCCACAGAAACCTTCTGGATGAGAGAGCCCAGCTCGAGAGCGAAAGAGGGGCCGAATTCTGGAGCACCTGTACCTCGACTCCTCATCAGGCTCCCTTTCTTTAAATCCCTACATCGCGTCCTCGGTATTCTTTTTTTTT